CGGCTCTCCAATGTTCAGGGTCTGCCGAAGCTCGATGACCGGATAGTATCTCGTTCCCTGGACGTGTCCATGAGTTATTCCACTCCTAGAACGTGGCCACCTTTCCAGCATCTTTTTGTCTCCCTTTCGCATTCTCCATGTCACAAATTCTGGTCCATTATTCAATGTATTTAAACTCTTTGTAATTTTTTTGTTAATTCGTCCAAAAGAAAACCTACAGTAGCCGTCACTTTAATATTGAGAAACAACGCAACCCAGCAAGCGTCACAGCCGGCAAAGACGAATTCTTCACCTTCCAGTGGTGCCGGTGTAATCGCTCAGTATGCTCTGCATATCTGGGATAGCCAAGAAGAATCGCATCCTTCGCAACGGCAGCTTGCTGAGCGTGGCCCAGTCGATTTCGATTGACACATGGGCTAGGTTCCGTTCCCGGCACGATAGATCAAAAGTTGAAGTTTGGGTCTCTTCTATTCAGTCTTCTAACAACTTCCCGATTGAGTTTGACTGGGAGGACTTTACGACTCACCATAACCCTCCAAAATCAAAGGTAAAATTCCTTTCGCTTTCAACCTTACTAACATTGTGTGCAGGACTGTGCAATTGCTCGGCCTCATTTTAGACAGGCACCTCGACCGCGACATCAACATTCTCAAATTTTCGACACATTCCAAGGACGGCGCGAACGAAGAAGCCTCACTCAGACAACGAACAGTGTACGACAAAAGCTGGGGCACCGATGCCCCGGTTTTAAGCTTTTGATTTCGGAATTTCAGCCCTCTCAAGTAGGGGTTGAGCGCAATGCAGGGGAGAATTTGGGAAGAACAATATGTGATTTTCAACAGGCTATTGGCACAGTTGGTCGGGTGCTGGATGTACTTTCTAGAAATGGTAGGTTGGATTCCTACACGGCCTGTTTAAAGGGGAATTACGGCTGCTCGTCGTGAAAGAGTACAGGAGGAATTATTGAGGTTTTCCCACGAAAGTTTTCCCTCAATACATGGTCTTAGGATCATGGAGAATGCGTTCCTACCTATTCGACCCGATATAACTAGCGTGAGGCACGTATTTGGAAAAGTCATGCACCGGATGGGCTTTGCTGGAGAATGGAGGAACTTGTATTCTAGATGTCCTCCCTGCGTGTCATGTCCATTGGATGGAGGATGTAAGCCTAGCACGATAAATAAAATCATCATCTACGGTTCGCGTTATCCCAGATCAGTTCGGTCGCAACTGGACAATTCTAGTTAATGTTAGCAAGACCGGGAATTACTCTCAGTGCAAGATGCGAGAATCGGATATCAGCCAAGAATGAATATTCTGGATATTTCCATAAATGTATAACTAGCAGGAGCAATACTTCCATAGTTAGCCACAGAGAGAATTTTAGACTACTTTTGTATATCTAAACACTCCAGCATCATTACTCGACCCGTGACTCGCCGAACGTGCTAGATAGTCTAAGACTCAAGTATTACAATAAACACACCTTTCTCTATCTCTTCAAGCCCTCGTTTCGTCTACTAGGAAGTTAGTCATGGTAACACGCAATGACTCAGTGGGATTTGGGTGTGAGCCTCGCAGATAAGCTCTACTGTTTATTGTGATGTGGGTCGGAAATGGAGTCACTAAGTGTTGTGGTGTTGTAATCCTAGTCCGTGCTAACATAACGTAGAGACGTGCATGGTCTAGGTCATGGATTAATATAGTCGCTGTGCCTACACAATTGAGGTAAGCTACGTAGTGGTTGTAGAGATCTGTTGAGGATCAGGATGTTGAGAAGTGATAGCAGTGCACGGACCAGCTTCTCATGTATTTAGACAGGTGGTCAGGCACTGCCCCCAAAAGTGTCCAACACAGATCACACACTTTATCCATTATACTTTAGCAAATAATAATCCCTTCTAAAGGCTACAACTCAGTTCTCTAGCATTATATCACAACTGTCTCTAAGTCTATCCCAATAATATCTCCAGTGCTCATCATTCATAACATGTGGACATACGAGCCCTCCATTCTGACGTCGTGACGATTCAAATTTGCGGTTGGGATGGGGGCTATGAGCCAACCTCTGCAAAGGATTGGGGCGGTATGTACGAGAATGACAAAAGTGAGAGATAAATCTGTTTTTAGACAGAGGTGAAACAGATAGTTCAATAACTTTAGTGTCAGGGGCTGACGGAAACGTCTCTTGCTCGTAGAAGAGAAATACTAGCGTGTAATACAACTGGACTTTTCCCAATACCTAGCTCGGGCTGCAGGTTTTTTGAGACTCTTACTCCCGCACACAGTTTTCATTGTTACCAATTGTACCTTGTTTTTGGGTCGAAGGTTCCGTGGGAGGTTGGCTTAATTTCACAGGTAAACACTGAGATAATTGGTATCTGATTCCATAGTAGCCTACGGTACGTAGATACCTTAGGCAGCAAGGTTAAGCGTGGCGTGCACGGGCACCTACGTGAATCCTCATATGGATCCCTCATCGTGTAGGCAGAAGAGAGACCACCAATACACATCCATTTTACATCAGTATTCAAGCATATGCTTGAAACTATAGCCACAGAGTGCTACCAACAATTGATTTTTTTCATGGGCAACTTACCAATGATATTTGAGGGTAAATAAGAGGCAAGAAGCACTGTACAAGGTGTAGCCTGGGCCAGAGAGGAGCTCAATGTGTTAGATAGTCTATGACTTAATTATCGACATTAAAACTTGTTGTCGATATTGTAAATGTATGTCTGTTATCACAGACATTGGAAATAATTCATGAGATTGCTTGATGAGAGGCTAGATTTGATTCCGATATAACATTGTAGAAGACTTGTCCCAACTATCAGAGGGCTACAACGTCTTTATCTATCTACAGGTAAATTCCCTATATTCCAACCACGCTAGCCATACAGGACGTAGCATATAAAACCTAATTCGTATCATCATTTTGGGGTTGAAGTTTACCGTACATATGCTACTCGAGTCGCATATCTGACTACTATGCGACACGCTCAGGTATCAATCTACCAACCCACACGAAACCGAACCTATTCACAACCCTGATGATGACCCCATGAATAATTGGAACAGTAGCCTGCAACATAGCGCAATTAGGCTAGACATCGTTGACCAGGACCTAATCCGAACACTTAAGTAGTAATATGAATATAAATCTCTACCCTACACCTGAGTCCTTCATCGGAGGGCAAGACTGAACACCTGTACGCGGTGTCCCCTTCGAAGCTGGGAGTGAAATATTCTCCCAGAGCCAAGTTCAGTCAAATTTCTCAATATCAAAGAAGTTGGCCCACGAGGCAATGATTCAAAATACTCCACCATATCAATCTTTCACTCCCAACGAAATCGATTCCTACCTAAGCCTCATCAAGTCTACAAGTACGACCTAGTACATCCTCATTCCAATGACCACACTTCTTTTCGACTTTCTTTGGCCTTAGCTGGTCGCCAGATACACGCCCACGCCGATATTTACATCCGACGGAGGAAGCAAAGCGTGGCGCAGAAATCTGGGAGATAGCTCTTTGGGACGGACGTGAGAGGGGTCAGGACAAGTTCATAAGATGACACGGAGGATGGATACAATATCGACGGGCGTGAAATTCCGAATTTTATCAAGGAATTTTCACGAATTGAGTTATGTGCGCGCCAAGACCTCACTTGCGATAGTACAGTTGACACTATAAAAACAAGCAAACGATGGAAGGTGTTGTAGTCCGCCTCCTGGTGGTGTTGTCTGGTATAGTTTGAGCAGCCTGGTGTCGAACTAATCGAGACCCGCATATGAGGCTGAATAAGGCTGATAAGGAGGCACACGCAATCAACCGTGCGTTACACATGGTGTCTATTATTATCCCCATGCAGTTATTCTTTAATTGTTTGTATTTTGGTTATCATCTGGAATTTTATACTATAATTGGTTATGCCTGCATTTTACTGTTTGCGATATTAGCGCTCATTATGTTTTATCTTGTATTTAAGATTAGATAACAAACAATGTTTGTAAGACGGGATGGGGAGATTGTATGGTCTGGACGATGCAAACTTACTGAAAGAAGACGAGCGAACTTGTACTTAAACAGAAGTAAGATCATGGAGGATACAGAAATCAATCATCATTCTTTCTCTTCTCTCTGAAAAAACATCGAAGTCCCAACCCTGTGACACCTGGGCACCTATTGCACTTGGGAAGGAGAAGCCTCAGACCACGTTTCGCGCGGAGACAAATCAGTTGATAATGGAGGCATGTCTAGATAACTCAGGGTTTTTGAGACGTTACCCTGGGTGGGTATTCACGAATGAGGGTTGACTTGGGGTGAAGAAAAAGCCACCATAACTTCGCAGTGGTACTTGCAAATGAAATCTGAGGCATGAGTGCTCTTCTTTTAAATTGAGTCATCTATTATACACTTCTCTGACATTATGTCATAGCTAGACAGCTGCATACAAAATTAAAACCTGATGCAAAAAATTTAAAAAAAGGGTCCTCCATTGTCATAGACTCAGTTTGGACTTTAATTAGATTCTCTTCCCTTTACATGACTCGTCACTATATAAACGGAACAGCTTTGTCCAATTCCTTCTTGTAGTACTCGCCTTCAAATCCATTCTTTATTCGAGTCTTACTTGTTAATCCCAGGGACTGAGGATTCAAGCTCTACTATCTAACGCCGTAACAACTTATCCTTGTACTGAAATCATCAACTTCCGAGGCTTCACTCGTCAATTATCAATACAATTGGACTCTGTTCGTGATAGCATCAGCCTTGGGGTGCGCTGAGGTGGATACAAGAAATTAATACTTTAAGCTTACTGCTCCCACTAACTTATTTTTACAATCATATAATATCTGTACAACACGATATTGAAGTTCACGCCGAAGACCAAAACAAGCAGTGCGGCAGTTCTACAGTATCAAATCCTACCTCTCACATGTTACTCACCGAGAAGATCTAAAACGTCCCTGGAAAAATAACAGCTACCTTAAAATCATGGTATGTATCGTCGCGTTCCTTCTACTAGCACACCAAGAAAAAATCGCCCTCAACCGCCTAGTTTTGGTGGGCAATGATACACCCGAATCTCTCTACGATGTTTATGAACCAAGCAGTGTAGGATTTCCCAAACCGATTGGCGATATACGTATGAGTAAGGTCCAGACTGAAACTCTTGGCACATATCAGGCGTTGTATTGCTCGCGTTCTTTGAAAAGTAGAGAAATTGCAACCCGTCTAACAGAAAATCTTTTAAATATTAATCATAGGTCACATTACACCACCAACTTAATCCGTCCAGATGTTACTACATGTTACTCTTACCTTGGATCACTGAAACGTGATAAGCCCGAGAGGGAGATACTATGGTCGTCCGCTGATGAAGAGAAATGCACTCCAGAGTTAATTCTCAACTTGAGCTATAACAATATTGTCTTAGTGACCGGACCATTTCAAGACTTTTTCCCACAACCTGACTCTTTCATGATCAAGATTAATATCGAGAAGCAATTGCACCTAGGAGAACTAGTTGACAACCAACGTATTTTCAGAAACAAAGAATGGTCGAACAACCATGTTGTACTTGCTTGGTATCAGGGAAACTTACATCTTTTTCAATGGCTCGACGGGCGCTACTGGTATCCAGTGACAAGCGTTGGTGGCGAGAAGTCTAACGGACTCATGTTATTCTACTTTGTGCTTGGCTTGGACCGCAAGATTTGGGATCTCAGACCTCATATCCCCACTGCCATCGAACGTAGCTTGGCAAGTCCGCAGTGGAGGCGCCACGAAGAGAAAATTTTAAAATACGTTTATGAGGAATCAGACTTATTAAATGATAACATAAAGATGCCCATCGGCCGGCTCACTTCATCCCCTGTAAAAGGCCAACTATATAGAGGAATTAATCAAAGGTGAGAACCCTGAAAATTATCTGCAACCGTCCCTCGAATAAGCTTTAACTCCAAATCTAAGCTCCGACATATTGTTGTTCCGTTCAATATTTTTTCATAGTACTAATTTATGATAGGCATCCTATATACCCCTGGGCATCTTGGAACCTATCACCAGTTGTAGATGCTGTTGTGCTCAGCTATGGTAGCCCTGGCAGGTAGCACGTGGAGGGTGAGTGTGTCATCAAGGTGCCTTGGGCATGGACAACTTACATGACATGCTTGGCGCATCTGTTCAGGCAAGGCATACTGGATGAGTAAGCATGGTAGGCATATGATTCGCTGGCAAGCGAGCTGACGGGGTATAAACTGGGAGAATTTCCCATTGTAAAGTAGAACATACATATTCATAGAGTCACTTACAATCCACTCTAGTTAACCTCATATCTTAGCCATCATAAGCAAGTGTACGTTCCCACTTTCATATACCAAGTAAAACAGATGCATGGCAGAAACATAGGGCTAATCGGGACCAAAAGATTAGTGAAATGATGAAACTTTAGCCCTAAGGTTTTAAAGCGTATTCACTCATCACTACTGTTGAAGGCTAAGAGTAGCCGCCAAAGAAGTTTGGCTGGGAAATGTCTCTGGCCAAAAATAGAGATTGACCACACCCACAAGGGTTGATATTTTGGTCAGAGCTAGTAGTCCTTGTTTAGAACTGCAAGTTTATCCCTATCACTTGTCCAAATTTAGAGGTATATATATCATGTACATGATTATGAGTGTATAAAGAGAGAGCTCAACTCTTGACGTAAAACGAAGACTCTTTCTTTTTAGTTATTAATACCCGGAATTCATCTTTGTTTGCCACAGGATGTGTATCCAAGTTTCCCTAAAACTACTAGAGTGACACTGCTGTTTCCACTTAGTTACGCACGAGTAGTTAGGAACAAAACTCAACACCTGTCAGTGATGTCTCCTACGACCTCCAGATCTCACTGTAGAGTCTACAGAGCTGAGATTTAGTGACACCTTGATCCTCACTTGGACGAGGATTCCCAATCGCTTTCGCCGTCTGTATCGTCTTCATCCCTCTGCACAAACACTAGCGTCATTATGACTAAGCTAACCACGATCAGAACAAATGGTAGAGTCGAAGCTCTGCGCATCGTCCACCCCTGATCATGGAGGAGAAACCATCCGATGAGTCTCCGCAGCGTATTCAGCACCCAATACGGCGATGGTGGGTTGGATCGAATTGGACTCTAATGTAACAATGAAGTGTGACAAAGATGAATATGCGCATGTTATGTGGTCCCGGTATCTAGGCCTCGCATTACTGAGGCTGCAGGTTTTTGTTTGAGACTTTTTCCCGCGCGCGAATAGTTTAATTGCTACCATTTGCACCCTTTTTTTTTGCTTTGAAGGTTCCGTAAAAAAAGGTGGTTGAATTCCACGGGTAAATACTTAGCTGAATCCATTTTGCAAAAAGAACTGTCTCGACGCGCCAGACACGCGATTATCTACTGTTCAGCTTTCTCTGATTTGCTCCTTGCCATGCCGCCCCAGTCCTCCGTAGAGGCTGGCTCTTGGCCCCCTCTCCCACCCGTAAATTCGACGCGTCCTGACGTCGAAATGGTCCTCACAGGGCCACCTAGCCACCACCACAACAACACACAAGCAAACGCAGAACCGATCTGCGAGGCGAGCTGCCAATACTCGCCCCCAAACCCCCCCGAGTCAATGGGTGCTTCCTTGACTAACTTCCTCGCAGATGAAGCGAGGGCGTTTAACATACGCTTTGCAGAGGCTGAGCGTATCGTCAGTGGGTACATTAACCTACTGGCGGCCACAACCGACAAACAGCTCCGACGAGCTGTCGAAAAGAATGGAGAGGCTTTACAGGCCACTATCACAAACATCCTGCGCGGAAACCCCGAGCCCCAATCCAGTGGGCCATCAGAGGCTGCCAGTAGCAGCAAGACGACAACCCTCCCTACGTCGGCTACTAGGTCGGGAGGAAAGAATAGCGCGAGCACTTCACGACCAGTGCAAATACTCACGAGAGAAAGCAGCCAGGCGAAAGGCAAAGAGCCGGCTTCGACAAAGCCTACTAGGCCAATCGACATCGATTCTATACAAACCCCCATCGTTACTGAGGGGTCTTGGACTCAAGTAGTGAGGAAAAAGACTAAGCCCGCACCACCAGCAGCGACAAAATCGCAACCAGCCAGCGAGCCTAAGTCAAAAGCGACAGGGCCCACACAAACTACGAGGCCTACTGCCTCAGCTCCCAAGTTAGCTCGCCCAGACGAGCGTGTTTTCCTGCGGGTCAAGCCCGACCACCCATGGAGACGCATGTCTCCTCATTACATCAAAATGAGCCTCGCAAGCAAGCTGCGCTTAGCTAACTCTGCAATTAAGCAGGTTACCATCGTCAACTCAGGGTTTGCGATACTAGCTGAAGGAGACGGAGCAAGAAACGCGCTCCTCTCAGGCGCCGTACTCCTGGAGAGCACGGAAATGAAACTGGAAGCTGCTTCCAACTGGATCTCAGTGTTGGCGCCTAATGTACCAGACAGACTCTTCACTTTAGAAGGACCAACGCCAGTAACATCGGAGATGGTAATGGAGGAAGCGACCTTAAAGACAGGCGTTAGACCGACCTCGGCTCGTGCCTTTGCAACAAGCATGGCTAGGCCGTCCACCGACTGGGTGTTGCATTTTGCAACCGGCAAGCCAAAGCTGGGAGAAAGACTTTTCGAAGAGAGCGGTCGCTTAAACGAACTTCAGCGTAAAGCCAAAATCGCGCAATGCAACCGATGCTGGGGACACCACCCAACTAAGATCTGTTCACGAGCAGAGCGCTGCTCTCGCTGTGGATCGATTGAGCACAAGGCTACTGAGTGCAAACAGCTCGTCCCAAGGTGCATCAATTGCCATGGGCCGCATGCCGCAACCGAGCCTAGCTGCATGGCCAGGCCGACGCGGACCGGCGGAAAGACTGTGCAACGCACAAGAGACCAGCTGTCGGTGATCCGGGAACAAGGTCAAAAAGAAAGAAACGCTTCGATCCGAGAGTTGGAAGCAAAGCAGAAAGCCGCTGAGGCGACTGCTGAAAACGAAACTACAAACGTTGCTCAATGCCCGTAAGGGACCACAACCTTACCGAGCTACACACAACGGCAACAACGATCTTGTTCCTCTGCGCTAATTTGGGCAGAGGAGACCCCGCTACAGACATCATCCTGCAATCCGCCTGGGATTCAGGAACCGATGTCCTACTCATCCAGGAACCCTGGACTCAACACAAGGACGGCTTCTGGCTCACCAAGTCGCATCCTGGGTTCGACAAGCACTTGCCCCCCCATGTCACAGCCAACCCCGCAAGGCCACGATCCCTCATTTATACGCGAAAAGGGACCAAGTGCCTACAACTAGCAATCTGCGAGGCATCACCAGATCTTACCGCCGTAAAGGTTGAAGGAGTCACGTTTGTCTCAGTGTATCGCGCTCCTGGAGCAGACCTTTCGCCGCTCCTATCATGGGCCCCGTCTGGGCCCACAGTAGTTGGTGGAGATTTCAATGCCGTCCACCCTGACTGGCAGCCCATGGCCACCAGGCTACACGGTGACGGCCAAGTGCTCGCCAAATGGATGTCCGAGCACGGTATGGACCTATCTTCGACCCCGGGCGTCTCGACTCACGATCTTGGAAACACACTCGACCTAGTCTGGTCTAACGCGGGAGCCCTTGCAGACGTCTCGATAGAGCTTGACTCGACATCGGACCACAGAACTCTTGCAGGAGACGTCCCCCGTCCGAACTCGAAAGCTAGAGCTGTTATCAAAACAGGCCAACCGTTTCGAGTGACAGACGACGCCCTCGAAGACTTTGCAAAGGTGCTAGGCCGTTGGGCTCAAGGAATAGAGCTACAGCCGATGGCTTCAGTAGACGCGGTGGACAATCTTGCTGATAAGCTGGTCCAAACTATTAGCAACGCAATCAGGGTCACTGGTAGACGCGGGAGTGTGAAGAAGGGTAGGATAGCACCTTGGTGGACGTCGGAGTGCCTACAGGCCAAACGCGAATACAGGATATTCAGGGACGAAGAGAGCAGAAAGGACTTCCGTCGCATAGTCAAAAGTGCCAAACGCCAATACTGGCGGCGAAAGTTCTCCGAAGCAACAACCGACGTCGACATGTATCGGATGGCACGCTGGGCTAAGCCGCAACCTACATCAGCTGCTCCACCACTCCAAACTCCAGATGGTGTTGTTTCGGATCCAGGAAAGCGAGCAACTCTGTTGCGAGACCTCCTTCTCAGCCGGTTCACCAGTCAGAACGACGTCGACGCTGAGGACTTCGAGCCAGGACGCGGAAACCTCCCATGGGTCTCGAGCGTTACGGACGAGGAAGCCAAGTGGGTTACAACGGCCTGCCAAAACAAAGCCCCTGGAGCAGACGCGATTTCTGTTCGTCTTCTTAGGACAGCCTGGCCATCAATTGGTCACGCAGTGAGAGTACTCTTTGAGGGCTCACTGCGATTGAATCACTTTCCGAAGGCCTTCAAGCTAGCGGAAGTAATCCTTCTCCCCAAACCCGGCCGTAACCTCAGTACAGCTAAAGGATGGAGGCCTATCGCACTTCTCTCCTCCCTGGGTAAAGGTCTCGAGAGACTGATTGCAAGGCGAATGGCCTACACCGCCCTCACCTACAAGGCAGTCCCGCAGCAACTCTTTGGAGCACTCACTGGCAGGTCTGCCAACGACCTCGTCTCATGCGTCATCCACGATGTAGAACATGCAATGAAACGGCAGAAGAAAGCAGTCCTAGTCACTTTGGACGTTCAGGGTGCATTCGATGCTGTACTCCACGGACGGCTGCTGCAGAGGATGAACAAGATGGGGTGGCCTAAACCAGCTATCACCTGGATAAAGTCCTTCCTACAAGAACGATCTGCTCGCGTACGACACGAAGACGGAGTCACAGACCCGGTATTCCTAGAATGCGGGCTGCCACAAGGATCGCCTCTTTCCCCAATTCTTTTTCTGTTCTACATGGCCGAAGTCGTGGGAGGCAGTAGTTGGAGATTTGGCTATGCAGATGATGTTGCCATCCTCGGCATAGGTTCAACTCCAACTGAAGCCGCAGTAGCTGTCCAGAGAGAAGTCGATGCAGTCCTAGGGTGGGCCGCTGATAATGCCGTCTCTTTCGAC